TACGCGTCTTCGGACGTTACTCGCCTTCGGGCGGCATACGCGTCTTCGGACGTTACTCGCCTTCGGGCGGCATACACGTCTTCGGACGTTCCTCGCCTTCGGGCGGCACACGCGTCTTCGGACGTTACTCGCCTTCGGGCGGCATACGCGTCTTCGGACGTTACTCGCCTTCGGGCGGCAAACGCATCTTCAGACGCTTCTCGCTTCTGGCATCATACGCGTCAGCGGACGCCTCTCATTTTCGGGCAGTATATTTAATCAGTTACTAGCGGTTATCATTCCTTTTCAGAATAGCAATAAAAACTTACTTTGTATTGAGCTTATTACATCGTCTTACTTGTTACTTTTTCGGACCTCCTGGCGCCGCAACTAGAATTCATTGCGTTTGAAATTAGTTATAATTTATAATCAAACAAATACATTATAATTCTGCTGCCTAATCACGCTTATAACTCTGTTGTGAGCGTATTTTAACGAGTCAATTTTTATTACGTACTGCTAATAATATGATATGTTCCGTAAGTTATAATTCAAATCATGAAATATTTAAATTATATTTTAGATGACGAATGAAAGCGTTTATTTATATCAACTGATAGAATTTGTTGATTATATATCGAAAGATGGAAAGAAAAGCATAGATTGTGTTCCAACTAACTGGGTTGAATTTGATTTGTGTCTTGGAAAATGTTTTGCCAAATTTATGCCACCACCTTATGACTCGGAACGTAAAAAGGAATTAGAAAAAATGATTTTTGATAGACAAGATCCACCTGATGATTGGCCTCGATACCTTGTTACGATTCGGGGTGGTGCGGGTTCGTATAATGATATTTTATTAAATTGCATATTGCAAAAGCATATTAATTTAATATTAATAAGGATACATTCTAAAAATGTGCATTTGCAAATTTTAAATTATCTGTACAGCAACATATGAAGAAGCGATACAACGTATACAGCGACTGACTGTGGAAGAATTTGCTTTCACAAGTGGGTGTGAAGAGCCAATGAAAAAGGCCGAAATAATTACACAATCTCTCGCGAATAAAGCGAAAGGAAGAGACGAAAAAATTAATGAGATTGTGAATGTGCCATCTTTTCAAACAAAAGCCATCACATGTGTAAGTCTACATTTATCAAATTAATTAAATTATTGTTTTATAAGTCATAAAAAGATTAATAGCACCATAGCGTTTATTACTTATAAAATAATAATTTCTTTAGCATTTTCTCCAAAACGAATTATGATTTTGAAAGTTATCTGAAATTTTAAAATATTATTATTAATATTAAATGGTACAAAATTAACAGATTTAATATCTTTTCCTTTGTCAATAAATTCTATTTGATACTGTTTGGCACTCACTAAAATACAGGAAAAATAAAAAATTGATTAATACTTTTGTAACTTGAAATTTTTTGAAGATAAATACATGAATATATAAATAAAAAATAAAAAATAAATAGTAATAAATAAACAATGAGTAAATAATACATAAGATTAATAAATAATAAATCTCTTTCAAATATAATATGATTTGAATGAATGAATGAATGAATGAATATTTATTTGCTTACCAGAATACAATAGATTCTATAGCAAGGGGGGATCGCCTGGCTAATTTATACAAAATAAAATAAATATATTTACATTTACAGCCTGTTCGCTACAACTAATTTACATCGGATTCATTCGTATAGCATAAACGCTCGTAATCTGCAGCTGCTGCTGACGAAGTGAAACATTGCATTAATTGTGGTATTATCGGAGCATGTTAATAATTCAGTTAGTGTTATATTTTCTTGAGTTACACGTGGTAAATAATGTCGGCGTAGAGGATCGAGGATTGGGCATTTCATAATAAAATGTTCTACTGAGTCTCTCTCGTGAGTGTTGCAAACAGGGCAGTTCACCATAATGTCGAACTTATAGTTTTCGCGATTGACATAAATTCTAAAAGAGTACTTATTTGCTAGTCTCAATTGGCACATAACTCTGATTGCTGGCCAGGTAACTTTAGCACCGAAATATTCGGCGACTACTCCCGATTTCATTCTCAGGAGCGTCGTCTGCGACGAATCTGATTGTGCCAGTTCGAGTGCGTCCCGATCCGAGAAATGCCTATCAATCTGAGCATAGAGATCCGCTGAGGCTGCCTTCCAAACGCCTGTTAGCAATGCAAGGTTATTATCTTCAAAGAGGGATAAAGGCCGATTGTATAAACTTACGACTTGTTTATTCAAAAGGTGACGAGTAGAGTACACACAATGTTCCTTCTTGTAATATTGAAGGGAACATGAACATAGTCAATAGAAAAACGTTAAGGAGGAAAACTTGCAAAATAAAAAGTTACTAGATTATAGATGGTGCTACACTGCACCGCTACGTTTAAACTATGCCAAACTAAAAAGAAACAAAAACAGAATAAATGAATTGTATTGATTACTTAACTCCAATACTCCTCCTTAATGAATACAAATTAAACCGCAGCGATCTCTGATATAAATACAATAAACTTATTTTTGGCTAATCCTTTAGTTAATAAATCTGCCAACATGGTTTCGGTTGGACAATATTCGCAAATAACGTGCTTCTTATCAATATATGATCTTTTACAAAATGAATCCTTGTGTCAATGTGCTTCGTTCTTGCGCTTAATCTTTCATTGGTAATCATCTTTAAGACGCTTTGATTATCTTCAAAGATTTTCGTTTGAGTTTGTCCTCTCCACTTGAAGTCATCCAAGAGTCGTTGTATCCAAATTGATTCTTTGCATGCCTCCGAAAGCGCGATAAATTCTGCTTCTGTTGATGATAAAGCGATGCAATCCTGCTGCTTACAACTCCAACCAACTGCGCCACCGAGCATGAATATGAAGCCAGAATTGGATTTTCTTGTCTCACGATCTTCGGCCCAGCTTGCATCCACAAAACCAATTAAATTCTCGTCATCCTTAACTCCTCCCAATTTTAGACGTAATGATGACGTGCCCTTTAGATATCTAATCAATTTCTTAACTTGA